TGGTCTGAAGGGTTGTGTATCTGCAAAAAAAAAAAAAAAAAACTACTTCATCCACAGAACAAGAAAAAGAGATATGATTGGGCAAAAGCTCACAAAAATTGGACTTATGACTAGAAACAAGTTTGCACTGTTTGGTTCAAAACGCAGATTTTATGTCCGCAGACAAACTGGTGAACGTCTGAAGGCACCATGTGTTAATACCACAATTCAGCATGGAGGTGGTAGTTCCATGGTATGGAGATGTTTTGCAGGTGATGGAGTAGAAGATTTGTTTGAAGTAAAGGGTATCATGAAGAAGGAACAGTATCACTCCATCCTCCAGCATCATGCTGTTCCATCTGGGGCCTGTTCTACGAAGCAGGATTACTGCTTAGCGAGGCAACTTCAAGGGTAAGTTCGGGGTTTTCTGTTCTACGATGCGGGTTCACTTCTTAGTGAGGTGAGTCTCCATGGCAATGTACGCTGAACGGCTAACCTGCTCCGGGGCAGGTTAGGTTCCAGATTGAACTCACCAAGTATAAAAACCCTGCCCACTGACCAATGAGCTCTCTCGAAAATGGCTTGTCCGTTCTTGGAGGATCCTATAGACCTCGGTGCTTGCGTTTTCCGCGGAGCACTCCGGCGCACGAGAGTTTTCAGGGACCGCACGGACCCACTTACTTTTCCGGATGACCACCTTTATAAAAGGCTCATATGGCCTACATATCACACAAACAATGTAAACACGATAGGAATGAACAAATGAATGAATTCATCTTGGAAATGAATTAGACATGTCTGGTGCATGTTAAAAGCGCATGTTGAACAGTGCTATTTCAGGGTGATAATGGCATCAAAGATTTTTTGAGCACTATATTTACGCATTGAGACTGTCGGCAATTTTCTGCCAGCATTCCTTCTGTGCTTTTGCAGTGGCTACGGTGTTGCTTTTGAGGTTTATGATAGATTTGAATTCTTAATACTTTCTCATGATTGTCTCCTGCTCCTCGTTTGAAAATTCCGCGGTCCTTCGCTCTCCGGCCTGCTGTGACGCTCCAGACTGGTCCATGTTCGCGATTGGTCAGATGCGGCGTGCTCCGCCTTACATGCGTGCACGCGCTCATAGCAAGCTGGATCCACATACGAGATTGAAAACCAGCGTCGTAAGACCGTTTAGCAAGACCGTTGGCTACCACGCTAAGTTGAGCAAGGTAGCTCCAAGGCTACCTCGCTAGGTCGAACTTGCTTCGTAGAATAGGCCCCTGGACTCAGACTTGTGGCTCATAAGTTTGTTTTGCAGCAAGACAATGACCCTAAGCACTCTGCCAAGCTCTGTCAGGGTTACCTAGACAAAAAAGAAGAGGAAGGGAAGGTGTTCTTCAAAAAATGGTTTGGCCCTCTCAATCTCCAGACCTTTCTCAAATTGAGCTTTTGCGGGATGAATTGGATTGATCAGTCAGAAAAATGCGTCCCACGAATCAGCATTCTCTTTTTAATGAACTTAAGAAAGCTTGGAATGCAATCCCTGGAACATACCTTAAAAATCTTGTGGAATGAATGCCTGGTATATGCCAAGCTGTTGTTAAAGCCAGAGGAGGTTACTTTAAAGAAAGCAAAGTCTAAGCAAAAATAACTCAAATACCCTATAATTATAGTCAAAATGCCTTCTGATAAGTTACTCTTTACACAATAGTCATGTTTATTGTGTTGCAAATTATATATATGAAACTTTGATCTTTTTTTGTACAAATCTGATCTTGCTTCCAAACTTTTGGCCTGTAGTGTACGTCTTAGGAAGTTGCACAGAACTAGTTTTATTATTATTATTATTATTATTATTATTATTATATTTTGGTTGTAATAAAAAGCCAAAGCAAATGTTTTGGGGGCAACAAAAGTCACATCATAGCTCAACACTTCATATATGAAATCTTTTTAAACGAAACCCTGTTGAAGCTGGATTTGCATCTCAACTATTCTTGAAACCTGGGACTGTTGACCCCATGAAGAGCTTCTATCAAGGCTAAGAACAACAACCCATAGCTGTCCATATCCTCATCGTCCATGAAATTGCAGGTGCGTCTGGTCAGTCCATAGACTGCCTAGTTATGTAATTTTATGTTCATTTATAGTATTAGAAGTACTAGCTTTGTTGTATTAACCTACTTTAAATCTGTAAGCTTAGACAAGAACAACATTGCTGATGGTTTTGTATTGATAGAGAATAGGTAGTTAATGAACAGGCAACAGACTCAGTGTATGACTGACGTTTACCTCTGCATATGTCTAATCATTGTCAATGTCTACTTGTACAGATGGAGTCATGCAGTTTGATAACCAGACAACTGAGGACTTCATTAGGAGACGTGCTCCAGAGCGTGTGTGTGTGTGTGTGTATGTGAGAGAGAGAGAGTTGGGGGGGGGGGGGGGGTTCATGATATCACTGAAGTCCATCTTCATCTTCTGGGATCCTTTAAGGGTTTACTAAAAAAACAGTTAAAAAAAATAAAACTAAAAAATACCTCACAGCAGATCTTCTTCACACTGACAGCAGTGTAAACTCATAAATGACACTATCTTTGTTTGGAGAATAATGACTGAAATGCAAATTAAAAACTATTTGATTATCTAAGGATTAAAGAATAAGAAATATAGGATATAGAGGAGGATACACCCTCAAGCTTGGGGTACTTGGGGTCACTTCAATCACACACCTTTAATCACACACTGAGTGGCAGATATCACCTAGAAAGACGCATCTAGCTCTTAAAGCTCTGAGGGCAGCATCAGCATTCAGCCAAAAGGCTACATCCTTCACTCATGAAGACATGGGCATGTTCTCCAGACACTTATTATGGCGTAAGTCAGGTCCGCTGCGCCGACAAGGCCTTCCCAAGCACAATTTTGTATTTTGGTGAGCGGCGCAGCCCGGCTTAAGTATCCCCCCTCCCTAACTCAGCTCCTCCCAGCAGCGTAAGTCATAGCAAGGGAGGAGAGAGGGCGTGAAGTGGATTTAACACAGCCGAGACCTGTATTGACCAATAAAATCAGCTCCTCTCCTCGCCTTTAAATCCGCCACCGGCGAGGCGTATTTCTATTTTCGTGAAGTAGTCAAAGAGATCAAGTGATGTCTGAAGACAGTAATGCCACAAGATGGCGACAGAGGGCAGCTCCTCACTGTAAGCGCTGCAGAGGGCGTCCTCCACACTCTCTCATCTGAGCACTGATGGATTTGGTGTGTGTAATGTTGGACCCACTGGTAAGACAAACACCCTTTTCCACAAATAAAAACACTCACAAAAAGTTGTATATATTCAAACCTCACGTGACAAAGGTGGGTTGTGCACACAGATCACAACATAAATTCCAATAATGGCATTAAAATCGGAACCATCAGCGTGGCCTGGCTTTCATAGATGTTGGCATATAAAATAAATTTGGCTCACAAAACTGAATATTATAATATCCGTATGTCGGCTTAAAGTAAAGAACTCATCTGATCACTGAAACAAATCATCTGTTCAGCCGCTGCAGCAGGATGGGGGAGAGGAAACGGAGACAAGTCCAGGTCGAGCTGCGCGAGAAATAAGAGGAAGAAAGAAAAGGAGGGAGACGAATTACATATCTTGTTAACTTCATCATGTGTGTCTATTTACTAGATATTTAATTTAATTTAATTCAATGCGGTTTCAGCTGTGTTGATTTGGTCAGGTTGAGTGTCCAAACACGTGCCAAAACGCGCTCATCAGATAAGATATAGATCAGAATATATCTATATAGATCTAAATGTATGTGCTGACTCAGATTATTAGTTGTTGATGATTATTTATTGCACTGAAATGTGCCCGACACTGTGGAAACCTGCCGGTGAGGCATTGGTGACGTATGCCGATACCCCGCAGGTCTACCAAAATACCACTAGACCAGCTGCGCTCCGCCTGCGCTGAAAGCTGACCAGGTTTGAATCGGCAAGCTTTTAGCGCACTTTATACGCCGGTGGCAAGCACGAAAATGTCACTGCGCCCGCTGATTCTGTCGACACCTCCCCCTGCCACGCCACCACGCCCAGCTTGGCAGAGCTCCGTGAGCCTCGGTCCACGAAAATACCAAACTGGCTGTACGCTGGGCTCCACCAGACAAAAATAGAACTGCGCGGGGTCCGCCACCCTCCGCCGCCTCACCGGCGGACACGAAAATAGAGCCCTTTGAATGCTCTGCATGTAGAGAAGCTAATATACTTCATGATTATCTGTCCTAGAGATAGAAGGTTAATCGGTTGGCCAATTATTGACCATCTGTAGTAATTGCTATCATATTGGCATTGGCCCTAATAAGGCCAATATCACAAAAACTTTATGACCTTTCTTTCACTGCAGAAATCACAAATGAAAAATTGAAGATCAAGGAGAGGCATAGTGTTAATTGGCTGGTAAAAATAATCATTTATTTTTCCAAGTAACACCTAACTGCCAGTTTTGCTTTGTGTATTGTCTCTGCTCAAAGATCAGGTCTGTGTAAATGTCAGAAAGCCTGATTTCTGACCAAGTCAGTAACCACAGATTACTGTAGGGATCACTATCAAGCCCAGCTGCCCTTAATCTAAGCCAAACCAGTCTCATGTGAAAATGTGTGATGACTACGTTTGCCCACAGTGCCAAACATAACAGTCTCACAATTCGGGCCTAATAATTGTGAAATGGTCACGTATTTTAATCCCATTCATTTCCATTGGGATGCCGGCGCGTCACGTGACTACTGGCAGCGGGCCTCTCAAAATCGAAAACATGGCGGACATTCCTCTCATTCTCACGGCAAAATGCCCTGTTTCGAGTTAGTTTGGCCATAAAAAATAATTTTGATGACATTTCATGCGAGAAATGGGCATTACATTTTCACAATATCCGTTCAGTTCTCGTCAATGACGTTTGGTTTGTTTGTTATTACGATCCTTATCTCAGATGTCAGCATCAAATTGTTAGAGTATTACGTTTTCTGCCGTTGTTATGCTGGTTGCTAGGAACGCTTCCACGGACGAAACCAAGCGGTGTGTATGCCTTTGTATTTTCTTGTGGCATATGAGCTGTTAAAATATTCGTGTAATTGTTGATTATCTTTGTTTAATAAAACAATAAAATACAAAAGAAAATACAAAGGCATGCACGCCGCTTGGTTTCGTCCGTGGAAGCGTTCCTAGCAACCAGCATAACAACGGCAGAAAACGTAATACTCTAACAATTTGATGACCAATCTGAGATAAGGATCGTAATAACAAACAAACCAAACGTCATTGACGAGAACTGAACGGATATTGTGAAAATGTAATGCCCATTTCTCGCATGAAATGTCATCAAAATTATTTTTTATGGCCAAACTAACTCGAAACAGGGCATTTTGCCGTGAGAATGAGAGGAATGTCCGCCATGTTTTCGATTTTGAGAGGCCCACTGCCAGTAGTCACGTGACGCGCCGGCAGCCCAATGGAAATGAATGGGATTAAAATATGTGACCATTTCACAATTATTAGGCCCAAATTGTGTGACTGTTACGTTTGGCACTGTGGGCAAACGTAGTCATTACACATTTACACATGAGACTGGGTTGTCTAAGCTGATGTTTGTCTGTTTGAAGCTGTGTTACATTTCTTTGCCACTCAGTCTGAGCAAGGAAGTGTTCCATGGTAAAACAGCCTTTCAATGTATACCTTCTAGGGCAGCACAATTTTGGCCAAAAATACAATCATGATTTTTTCCCTTGAAAACTCAATTCTCAATTTAAATGTTCTATTCAGTGTCAACTTCACCAAACTTCACTCTAATAAAAAGTTTTCTATCATCTCTCAAAACAAAACCACAAAAAATGATGTTGTGCATATGCCAAGCCAGTAAGTGGCGCTGTAATGTTGTTGAGGAAATGCTCAAACGACAGAAGAAGAGAACAGAGCACATGTTAAAAGGATGTTTTGGCCAGACAAGCGCAGCCACCATAAAAAGTTACACTGTGTGTCACGTAATCATTTTAAGAGATGCAGATAGGCATCCACATGGAGATGAAATGGTAGTCGTTTACAGATTAATACACTCTCTGACCCATTTTCAAAAAGTACAGTTTACAGTCACCTAAAATACCATTTCCGTGTGGATGAAATGCTGATACGACAAAAAAAAAGAATGTGTTTACTCCTGAATTCATTTCCATGTGGATGGGTTGATACCGCCTTCAAACAGACTTTGCAGCGGGGAGTGGTTTACTTTTCATCTCAAACTGCCAAGCTGTACCAATTCCACATGACTGACTTGCTCTTTCACCCTTTAGCCACTAAATGATTGCCTTCTTTTGCAAATCCATGTTTGTTTACACTGGTGTTTGTGGAAAGTGGGGAGCGCTCCCGCAGGAAAGATGAGCCTACAGTGGCCTGCAGGCATGAGACATGATAGAGAGGAAAACCAATTTGATGATTAAATTTTTTTTAACATCGTCATAATCAAATATCACCATCACGATTCAAAACCGATTAATCGTGCAGCGCTAATACCTTTTATTTCTCTTCACTTGAAGCTTTTATGAAACAAACACACACTTTAAAGTTAAAGCATAATTAAGCTTATGACATACCAATACAGAAATGGATCTCAAAGAACATGCAGTGACGGGCAGTTTGTGCCAGCTCACACCAATATTGAGCTAACTCAAAGTTCAGTTCACACGAATTAATTGATCACTGTACACTATTATAGCACCACAGACAGATATTCACTTCATAATTCCAGCTAACCGCTTTGTCTTTACTGTCAGCAGGATTACCCAGGAATTTCACAGGATCCAGAATTGCTCCACTCCGCTCCTGACCGGCAAGCGGATCAAATACACAAGCATATAGCGCCCACTGGATCTGATCCGCTGCCACCATCTGAGGAGAAGCTCTCACAATATTACCGATAGTTCTCACAAGACTGGACGAGATCTCACGAGATCTTGCGTGTTTCCCAGTGAGACAATGAATGATATCCGATGATTTGTGTATATAAACGGCGGTGTAAATAAACACCCACATCCCACAACCCTGCCCTCTCCTATTATCAAGTGAAGAACAGTTCAATGTATTGACGTTATTTTGATTTGAAAATAAAACGGATATTCTACTCTGTAGCCGCATACAACTTCCACTGCTGCTCGTGCTGCGCTGCACTGAACTGATGCGCCCTGCTGCGGCATCCGGCAAAAATAGAAGCCTTGTGTATCTGATCTGGCCAGCAGAGCTGATCCATAGCAGAGCCAGACGGCGTACAGATTCTGTGGAATGACATACATTGATTATAATGCTTGCAAATTTGATCTGCCTGCCGTGGGTTTTGCCCATTAGCCATACTGAGAGTGCCGAAGATCTGACTCCTGCTGCTGTAAAACACAGTGCTCGGCATCTCTTGGCACCTCCTCTCACCTTTCGGCCTTCCTCGGAATGTGATCGGTTGTTCACTACTCCACGAGTGATTTACACTAGAGTGTCTTGTTCATGAGTTATAAACTGAGCAGTTGAGTTTTCTTTTCATGAAAATAGGTATGTGATTATTTTTACTCATCCCTACAACACTGGATGTAGACAGCATATATCAAGGTCTTTGCTCTATTCAGGATTTTTTCAACCAGGGGCCACCTGTTTATCATTTCTCTAATTCCAATATGTACAGGACAAGAGTCAAGCAAAGTGTATTTGTAAAACACTATGTAACAAAATATTTAAAATTTGATGCTTGAGACTTTTTAATGAACCAGAAGATACTTGTTTTGTCTGGATTTTGTTACTTCAGCATAAGGAGGGAAAAAAAATAGTACTATATACGTGTTATGGGTGTTGCATTACAGTAACATTTGGAATAATCAATTGCAACAATAAACAATATAAATTAGTATTCAAGGAGTTATAAATGCATTTAAATAACCATTATTGAATATCATTATTGATATAAAGTATGGTTTCATTCCTAAAGAAATCACAGGAAATCAGTCACGCTACTGTAGAGTGGTGCATACTGATGAGAAAATCATACCGCTTTCACCAAGTCCTAATGATGCTATTTATTCCATTAGACCACACACACACACACACACACACACACACACACACACACACACACACACACACACACACACACACACACACACACACACACACACACAGCCTCCTATTAAATACTAGCTTAACCAAGACAATCTCTTTAAAAACTCTCTCCTGCCCTGTTCATCCTATTTTTGGCATCTCATTTCACCCCCGCTCACAGAATCAAACGTTTACAGACTTGTACGATTTTCATAGCTGTCCAATCACATCTTAAACTTTCCAAGACTCCAGGAATTAGAGCACAACTCTCCTTTTTCCAAACCCTAATCTAAACCTGTAATCAAGAAAGGTGGAGAAATAAGCAGTGTATTAGGCTTCGTCCCAGCTATCAGAAATTTTGTCAGATGGGCTGATGTCACAAACCTTCAGTATGAAAAACCTATTTACAAGGCTGAATGGGACTGTTATTTCATTATTATTCATTTTAAATGTTTAAATGACTGATGCAATATTTTAATATTTTTACCCTACAAATGAGAGAGATGTCACTGCAAATGGCTGGGCTGAACATATAAGGCCCTGGAAATTTGTGCTTTTAAAATAGCTGGTGCTATGAGTGCTGACAACTGTGAAGGAGAGAGAAGGACAAGCTGTAACTGAGTTCAGTCTTTGGGAAAAAAAGGTGAAAGTTATAAAAGGAAGAAGAGCATGATCGAAGAAATAATGAAGAAAAGAGAAAATGGTTGTAAGGGAAAGAGGAGATGAAAATGACAGAAGAGAAGAAGAGGAGAGGACTATCATCTTTAAGTAACAAGGGCCCTTGTCTGACCCCCCTTACACCCTCCTCCTTAGTGACTCAGTCACCACGGCAACAGAGCAGAGGGTAAATCGCTGTGGCGATTGCCTAAGGATGTGTGGTGCATTGGAATGCTAAGTCCCTGCTGCCAACATGGTGTGGAACACACACATGCCCCCCAAGTCTCCTAAATCTCCTAAAGCTACACTTTAGAACCCTGTGACCTCTGTGGCTGCTGTCATCAACAAAACAACAGTGACACACGTGACAAACTGTATTTACCTCAATATATCACTCATACAAAGAACATCCTTACAGCACTGGCTTGACAGAATGGTGTTTAATTAATATTCATGCCGCCTTCAGTCTGTCTCCACTCCGGCTAGAATACAGTGTTCCTTTTTTCCTTGACATAACTCCTTATTTGCTGATTCCATTAGCTAGAAAGTAACATTTTGTATTTAAAGTCTAATTTTAAAAGCTCCACCAGACAGCTTGACACTCGGGAGGAGGATGTTTGTGGAGTTTATAACCCACAAATCCTTTAGGGTGACACCAGTAAATTAAATGTCTTCCTTATAGTGTGCCGGGAAAATGGAGGTAGGGAACAAGAAAATACTGAGGCCAAAGCATGCCAGTGTAAACCTTTTTTCAAGAGTATTAGGGAGATGTTGTACTTACATGCTGTACTTGATGCAAGGGTGCAAATCCCGGGTGTGTCACAGGGGGTTATGACCCCCCCCCCCCCCCCATAAAGTTGAACCCCTCCCCTCCTGTTGTAAATACAAATAAAAGTTTTCTCAGTCATATCGTAACATTTGTTGATGGTACAAGACAAGTCACGCTATTTAGCATCATCACATTGACAACTTTAACTGTTGAAAAAAACTGAGTGCTGATGATCACAATCAAGAAAACACAAAAGTTTTCACTCCTGTGGCTGACAAATAGCCTCTCCTCTTTACTTGATGTGACAGGCTGGGACAGTCCAAGAGGACAGACAGGTGACATGCTGACATCTTCAGTTGCACTTCATACTCTTACTGTGTAAAGGTTTTTGTATTTATAATTTTTGTGGCATATTTAGGTTGTTTTTTGTTTTTGTGCTGCTTGTTGACAGTTTGATAAAAACATATTTTTGAAGAATAGTTTTAGTTGGAATAGAATATTTATTTCTATTATTCATTTAAGTATTTTTTATCGTTTCAGAACTTGTATTGAGCTTTCAGTTATTGTAAAGCTGCTGAGGTCATGATCAGCAAATCAATTTAGTTATGTCACTTATGGTGTACTGTAATTGACACCTATCACCTAATACCGATCTTGGAGTTGCT